TTATTATAATAATATACAATTTTTAATATACAATATAATATACTAATATAATAATAATAATATAATATACGATAATGGCATTAAGGTTAACGTTGACTGATAATAACCATACCGGGAAAAAGATGTATCAAACAAATACTAGATACCATGAGAAAATGCGAAAACTATTACATATGCTAGAGCAACATGGAGTGTACCGACGTACTGATATGAAAACAGCTGATGGTAAATGAAACCAGTGTCAGTATTAATTATTGTTAAGAAAATTATCTGCCCTGATCATATTATCTCTTTATAATGCATGGTCTTGAAGATAACTAGCAAAAACAAAAGAGGAAAAACGCTCTGAGCATGTAAGGGGCCCATTAAAGTTAAGATAGCTTAAAATTACTTTCTGTTTATCTAGCTTCTAATAGGAAAGTAGGCGGATATAGACATTATTATATACACTTTATTCGTTTCCCAATAAACAATACCTTTTGTAAGTTAATCATTAAGTATGTTATAGACGAATGAAATTCTAAATATGAAAAAGTGTGTGACATACTGGCTAACAGGCGTAAGTAATATTTTTCAATTCCATTTAACTCAACACGGTCAAATGTTTTCCCAGACGCAAATGGTCCCATCATTAGGCGTCGGCAGTTGATTTTAAACAGCAGTTCTATACAGAGACAGTACTATAGTCAGTTGGCTAGTAAATTAAATAGTCGTTAGACTATTTTTTTAAATTTTACTTAATACATTAAAAGATGCAACCACCTGTTTCGAGTCTCACTTCCAAAGTCGCGGTACGGATTGCATCAGGAAGCTGAGCGACGGTATCGATTACAGGATCTGAGCCCAGCACTTATAGTTCATCTGGCAGGTACATTGCCATCGTAGAGCGCCAAGCGCGATTACTCAGCGGTGAGCATGTAATTTAAATAGACTATTGTATATGGTTTTTAATATGCGTACGCCGAAGGAAATGGGATCGCTTAATATAAGCGTATTCTGCTACGAACTTAAAAAAATCGCATTGACCCCAACGGTGCAAACAATAACTACAATGTCTCTCTTGAGCCACAGCTAATCGAAGCTATGTCGAAGATCATTCAAATCAATAGCGTCTTGCGATTAATGATTGTGAGTTAGAAAATGGTGATACTTGTTTAAGTTAAGTGTACGGAAGTCAATTTTTAAGCTACAATTTACAATTTTAAAGGCTCTGTGTTTTGACTGAAAACAGTATTTTTCATTTTCTGACGTTGCATGTTATGTGGGGGTAGGGGACTCGATATTCGGCCCACGTAAGATAGACAATGTGCTCTAGTGGTGCTGGTGGTGCGTACAGCGTATTGCTCAAACCTTTTATTAAAGAAAAAAAATCCGACAACAGATGGGAGTACTTCATACGTTAATTACGATCTACAGAAGCCCCTTTGCATGGGTCTCCATTAAGACCTGATCAAATTAGTTAGGAAAAAAAAGTACATTTTTGGGTTGGGCAATTTCTTTCTGATCGTAAAAACTTTAAATTTTTATCTTTTTTTTTTAAACTTTATTCCTTAGTATTGCCTTATGATAACGTACACTGTTAATCAATACGCATTTTTTCAATTTTATTGTAGTACCGCCATACAATACACCTATACAGAGCCATATAGCGTGTTTTTAGTATTTTACGTTGGGTTTAACCCGTCAGGAACTACTACAGACTAGAACCAAATTAAATTAGTAGGTGTTAATAACTTACTCCAATAATTACAGAAATGAGGGAATGTTTCTGTGGGTGACGATTAATCACAACGCACGAACGTGCAAATAGTCGAATTACAACCGCTACCATGTAATCGTAATCTCTATAGGGTATAATGTTAATGTGTAACAGCCTTTCAGCAAAAAGCATGTGCAGTCCATCTGCGTGCCCTGGGCCAACACATGACATACAGCGGCAGCAAACACACTAACCATCTGTTTGGCCCTGTCGAGCGCCGCATTTCTACAATTTAACTAGGTTTAGGACATTTAAAGTCTAAACTATAACAATTTTTTTAGGAATTTTGAAGTTATTCTTGATAAAAACAATCAGTTTAATATCGTCTCTGCAGTAGCCTTGGCCAAACTATTTCTTTACGCTTTTGTTGTAGTCTTAAAGCAGTTGATGCGATTCGATCAAACGGCAGTTATTTTTTTTTGTATTTATTTGAAAAAATAAACCTTCGCTCGAAGGCAATGTCTTCGCTCTTGCTTATCGTATCAACTCAACAGCACAGATATCGGCATTACTATTTGCTTTACAATTTTTTTTTATTTATTTTGACGAAATTAAAAAAAAACACTGCTTCGTTAGTTCTAAGGCTTTTTGACAGTTTATACAACTGTCTTTCTGAATATATAACGTCCGAAATATAGCGGCTACGTTGCATCAATATAATTAATACTGGCTTGTTTCGTAATTACGAAAACAAGCATAATTGCTATTGTGACCATTATTTTTTGTGTCTACCTACGATGTTTAGCTGAGCGAAACTTATTAGGGATCTCTCGTTCCGTCATTTATGTTATTCAAATGAACATGCGCTCGTCTGTTTAAATAAAGTTATTTTTGTATGACGCTACTTATTGGTTGTTATGTGGCTTATATAGAGGAACATTTTGCATCATAACTTTTTTCCAGTTCATAGAGTGCTTTCATACTAACTATTTGGCAAAAAAGAAACCATAACTTGAAATATCCAACTTAACACATTTTTCGTCTAATGACTCTGGACGGCAAAATCAACATGCCAACAACACCAACAACAACAACAACAATGGGCACCTCATTTGAACATCAAAGGATATTTTAAATAAAACTTTATCTGCTATTATGGCTAAACGAGTATCATATTTATGACCATCTCCGTTGACGATACATAATCATGACTATTCAGCTGGAATAACAAAAATCCACACGCTTCGATCCAGTCATTTAAATGAAGCTTTTATGCAACAAGTCTTTTTGAGTCTTGACGTTTGCAACGAGCTGACCATTTAAGTTCTGATAAACCCCCTTGTAGAATCTTACAGTGACAGATATCCTTCGTATACATCTGAGACATCACCGAAATCGATCTGTTTTTTTAGGCTTAACTCGAACTGTTTTAGCTGCCTTGCATTCTTATACCTGTCTACTTTCTTGGCCATCGCTTCCTTGAGCTTCATGCCTGTAGAGCTCTCATACGCATCCCGGAACATTTCGGTGAGGGGCAACATCACGTCTACCGGCCCTTGCGCATACTTAAAGACACGAACAATATTGAACGACTCCTAACTACTCGTTATTACTAATCAAAAAGTAGTTGAGGATTTTTAGCGGAACCCAGACCCTTCGTCGAATCTGCATCAGCGTTCCACCCGCACAGGCATGACCTTTCGCACCTCTGGTCGTGAAAACGGGGGAAAGATGGTCGATTTCAGAACACTGGAAAAATGTGCCAACAAAAGTCCGCATAATTAAATGAACGAAACCATTTTCTGCGTACACAATTAATGACGTGGCAGCCAACAGATTCGCCTGCTACAATGTGAAAACTACCTACAAGACCAGATCTACTGCGAACATTTCATAAAAAATAAAGATCATTTCAGTTAGTTGCGTATAATACCAAAGCTTTAGAAATACGTTCAAATAACAAGCTATATCTGTGGCGTAGTCATTTCCTGACGAACGTTGCGTGCTATTCGGAGAAGTCCAACGTATGTTGCGTAACAACGCATATTGATCCCTGTTTTCTATTATTGACATCTAACTATTGTTAAGCCTGATGCACGAAATTCTAGTACAGCTAATTAATTTTGCAAAATTCGTTTATGATTAGGAAAACTGTAAACGAGTTAGCTTTTTTAAATCGACTGACCAATTTCCTCGATCAATCTTCGTCCACTGTGCCTGGAGCAGGCACAGTGGACGAAGAACTTGAAAATATAAATAAAATATGGGTGCTCGAATTTCGCTAGATTTTAGAATACAAATGCCACTATTGGCTCCGCTAGCACACTTGTCAGGGAGCGTCTTTTGTTATGTGACATTTTATTGCAAAGCTAGAACAGTAACATGCTATGAGCCTTCTTTAATCTGCCATACCTGATCCGAAGAAGAAGAGCAGATGCCAGCATGCATATTGAACTCGTAAACATGGGAACTGAAGACGGTTCTCGATATATTTGATTTATTTGAAAAATTTGTTCACGAACGTCTCGTCAATAGAAAAAATGTATTAGCATTTGGCCTAACTATGCGTGTCCTGATACTGTAACTTATTGTCGTTGAACTCTAGCCTATTTTCTAGTGAAAAGCATATGCGGAAACGCTCATATTCAGGATATTTGTTTTTTGATGGGAACGACAACGATACGTTACAGAAATCCTGTTAGGCGCAGCTTTTATCACCGTATTGTTGCGGTGCGGTTACCTCAGAATCTTTCGTTACGATCGAAAACCTAGCCATAGCGCATGCCAGAGTTAGTTCCACAACATGTCGACAGCGAGCCGACAATGAAACAGTAGTGACATCGGTAAATCGATTGTGAGCACTTTAAGTTTAAAAACCTTACTATTGGCGAAGCGTAACTTGCATATTAGAATACCTTTCTCAGATAAGCATATATAATTGGATTTATTTCTTTTGTCCCTCTAAATTAAAGCTCTAATAAATCCCATTAAAGCTTTGCAGTTATAATTGCAGAATGACAGTTGTGAATAAGGCGTGTTTAAAATTAGTTTTTTGACTTTTTTGCAGCTTGAAATAAATTACTATAAATAAAAAACTCTCTATGCTGCTTTAATCGTATTATTATTATTATTATAGTAGGCCATGATAATGTGTGTCTCCGTTTGAGGGTTAGCGTAAGGCAAGCTATTCTTTTAGCTGTCTCCTAAGCCTATATTATATGTACAACAACTTCACCAATAGATCAAAGACTAATAGTTTATGTGAAGACAGGTTACAGCCAACGTAGACAAAATGTAAATATAAATTGTGTATAATTAAATACCACCTTTTATTCTATAGTGTGTAGTATATTGCAACGTAACGCATACACTCCTGGAAAGGAAGGGCCCATTGTTTGGCAACACAAAACCCAGTTCTTTATCTGATTCATGCATCTCTCCGATGAGACATGGATCGCAATGATGGCCGTAATCGTGGCCGCTTTTTTCATCGTTATAAATACAAACCATGTAGAATACTATAGCAGCATCAGCAATTTTTCAACAGCCTTCCTTATTAAAACACTATCTTCAGATCGACTTCAAATCGAAAACTTAGGTTCGATTTCGACTTCGAATCTGATTTTCAGGAGGATGGTCAATGAGCTTCAGGTTGACGCAGCCTCCCAATGAGGAACTTGGCAAGCATCTTATAGGCAGCCCCAGAGTGCCCTGATTGAATGAAAGCTAAAGTTGCATCGTAACCCAAGTGTTCCCACAGGATTTCCGTTCCACCAGCATGCTGCAACAATATAGTATTTTTTTTTTATAGTATAAGCGCTGTCCACGTTTACGGCACGTAATGTTTCTTTAAAGATAATTATTAACATAGAGTTATTATAATACGGAGCTGTGCTTTAAGCTAAGGCATGTAGCTCTTACAGGTGGCTAATCTGAAAACGACTATGCCTTACGCAAAGTACATAATTTTTTTCATTACAAAGTTTTTCCATCTGTTATTTGTCTGTGCATTGGCGCGTTAGATACGACAATAGTGTCTACATTAGCTTTGAATGGTCGGTCCCTATGTGCATTCAGGACATTTACAAGTTTTAAGTAGACCTTTTGGTATAGGCCGAAAAAATGATCGAGGAATTATGCCTAGTCAAAACAATTTGATGATTCAGTTGGCTTTTAGCAGAAATAATTCTAATGAACTAAAAAGAAACAGTACATTCTGTCGGATTCAGATGCACTAAATTGACAAGGTATTTATAAAATAAGACAAATATGCTTTTTTTCTTTTTTCGCCAAACGACGATAATGAATGAGCAAAGCCATATTTATTTGCATACCTTGTCCAGAAAATCAGTTACATCGTAGACGAGTTGATTAATGATGATCCAGCAGTCCGAGGGAGAGGCGTGCTCTCTGACCTTTTCCTCAGAGAACTCTGGGAGATACGACAGGTTGTCTTGTTCCGGAAAAAGGCCCGTTGCTGATAACAGTTGCCACAGCATCTTACTAGACGTTTAGCTAAATACAACAGACAAAAGACGGTGCTACCTTTGCTGGCGTAGTGATAATATGTTTGGCTGCAAATCATAGGGATGTATGAGTTAATTCAGTTCGAAAGGACGAACAGATTCATCCAATTTCATGCTAGATATCCAAAGCAAATCCTAACTAAACGAGTATCGGAAATAAAGCTTGAAACATGTAGCTTTATAGGCAAGACAATTTCTTCGGAATACAGCGCTTATTTAATGTACTGGTATTGAAGGTCGAATATGTTGCCCTGCTTGATACTCATTACAGAACGAATTCTGACCGTATGATTCTTGCTAAGTACAATCTTTTCGATGCTGTTTCTGCGCGAATCGATATCTTAGATAGACTCAATAGTAAAAAAGTATAAACGTTTAATTTGTTCCTTCCTTCTTCCGTGCATAGACATTTAAGTGCCTCAAAATGTTTACCATTACTCATCTAGCTAGGTCTAATATGCATACGGCAAGGCCGAGGCTAGCTGATAGCAAAAATAGAATGTCCATACAATAGGTTATAGTATTAGTTATTTTACATTTTATGTGCGCTAATTAATTTAAAATTTTTAAGCGTTTATAGATTTCTAGGACCTTTAGCTCTGAATTTCTGGCTCAGGAAACACCCAAATTGATGATACTTTAGGATGAAGAACATTCCCACCGCCACCAATATCCGTTTCTCATTGTCTGCGCATGTGAATAGTTATCTTTACCGCAATAAAGTTACGCAAGAATTTTTTAGCAGCCTTCGAAAAACCTGTATCAAGCCTAAATAGCCAGCCAGACTTCGCCGTAGGAATACAGAGATAAAAACAAGTTCCAGACGTAACCAGCAAAAGATGGATATTTTGAACCTTCTCGAGAATCTTGCGCAGAACTGCGAGACCGACCCAACCTTTAGGATAATCTTTTTTCATCGGTTCTCCTTTCAGAACTAAACAATGATTGCGTTTTAGGGAGTCTGACAGCTACAATGTTTAATATGTGTCTAAATAAAAATCTAACTATTTTGGATCATAGGTGTCCTAAAGCAAATGAGATACTTGGCCTGCTCACTATATATGCATGCTTTTGTCTTTTGGTTATAATGCCGTTATTGGCTAATAACGATCTGATTCTCACTAGGAATCAGCGAGACGACGTCTGCGATTTTTTTTTTGAAACACGAACCCATCATCGGTTTGTTAAAACATAGCATATAAACACGCTCTGGATCGAAAAGGTCAGGAATTCGACAGGCTCATTAAACCTTATCATTTTCCGTGTTTAATTGATGCGATCTTTATTTTTGTGCTAGATTATGCTATTTGTGGAAGATATCAACAAGATCGCTGCTACCTATATGACAAAAGTAGTTCAGTGCACTCTATCTAACGTAGATTGCATTTAAACAAATCTAGTAACGATGAGCATAAATAAGCAATTTGATTGCAGTCATAATAGTCGATAAGAGCGCAAATGAAAAAGTCACACTATTTACATGCTCACCAAAAAAGTGTTTTTATCATTAATGGGTAAGTCGAATGTCCCGGTGTAGTCGAGTACTTATCGTCCATATAAATTAAGCGTATCTTGTGATGACTAAATGAATCGTCGCTATATCTTCTTTAACTAGCATGCCTCTAGTCTAGGGTAAAAGCGAATCAAAAGCCCATCGAAACATGAACGGTAATTGCAGAGGGTCACCCCGGCTGACGAGAACGATGCCTTCTATGAGCGCAGAATCTCATTAATAAACACTAAGCTTGATCCGTTCAAGTCTCCCAAATACTTAACTAGGTTATATATATATATACAACTTTTTAGTTCTTAAAATAAGTGTTTGTATTTTTTGAAACGGACCTTACAGGCACTGTTTGAAAGCAGAGTATAATCATTGTGCTCATAGTTACAGCGTTCAGAATTTCAATAGGTAATGCTACTTTGACGCGTCTACGATACCACTATCTATCATTTCTACTATGTTTTTTCTTATGCCTGGAATGTTTCGTGACCTTTGATTCTCGACTACTACTGAAATTATCAGGTCCACTTTGTCTTCATCCAATTTTTCCTTACCGAAGAGGCTCTTCCTCGTGACAAAGATCTCTCAGATTCGGCCACCTTGGTCATCTCAGCGTTACTGCATTGAACTAAAAAAATAGATGCAATATTTTATCGTACTCGGTGTTTTTGACAGGCATCATGGTAGAACTTCATGTCGATTTGCGATTAGTTGAGGTGCACCTCCTACAATTCCTTCCAAGTTTCCTTCGTAGTATTTCGGTGCTGCCATGCAGCATAAATATAGAGAGACGTAGCAAACGTAGGCGTGTCGTAGAAGTGTAACTAATAAAAATTGGCTCTTAAATCAGATAAAATATGCACACAGCCAAATTTTATTCTATGTGATCCATTTTGTTCTATGGATCCTGTCGACCTACCGTTCCGCCTTATTTCGAAAACCACTTTTTAACCGTAGACTTACATCTTAGTTGAATATAAGGTTACTTTTGTTTCCATCTTGTATATATTAATTCTTTATTATAAAATTAGGAGCGTGTATATTTCAACTAACAGCACGAAAGATTCAATTATTAGCATTTGTGACTTCGAACCAGGGCTTCACTCGGGGACACCTTACCATTGCATTTAAATGAAGGGGGCAAGTGTCAACGTTTTTATTTGCCAATGTTGACATAGCAAGCTTTCATCTATGGCGAACAATAGTGCGGAATAGAAAGTGTTACCTGCTTTTTTTCTAGTTTAAATGAAGGCGCATTTCGGTAACCATTATATGATGTTGAATAATACACTGACCTGTCAAAATTGTGGATTAGTCTGTTTTGAGCAGAACCAAACACTGCTAACCAAACACCGTTAATCGCTTGTCCTCAATCGCACTGCCTTATCGGGCCCTTTAGTTTCCCTCCCGATAAAGTTCCTTTAGCAACAGGTGCTTTTTCCTTGCCTGGGTATATTCGCTGCTTGTGGCGAGGTTCCCAGACCACTCTCGCCGAAAACGGATCGTTTTTGCGAATGACTAGTATTCAGTAGCAACTCCATACGACGTCCGTGCATCAATACACCTTTGAATTTAAACAAATTATGGTTCGGTGTATACTTAGAGAAGGTTCTAGAGGATATGGTGGGCAGTCGAGGCCTAACTGAGAAACGAGGGAGAAGGTAAACTCTCAGACGAACAAGAGCTTTTAGAAGAGACTTTCGTGTCTTATGGTCCGGCAACGTGTGTAACGTCCACCGCCTAAGCTCTCCAGTGGTCGTAAATATGAGTACACAGTATGTAAGACAGCTGGACTATGACTGTTCAGCCTTCACTATCACCGTATCTTATGGTCATCTTTACGCCGCCCGCGTTATCAGTCTCAATTGCTGTCAATTTACGCATCATCGATTTACAACACTCTGACGATAGATGAACCTGCGCGATACAAATTCAACTCGGTGCTTTGGGCCGGTCATACTACGAAGTTATCATTAAATGATATCGTGATAATGTCCGAACATGTCTTCTTTTTAACCTGAAAATAATGGAAATTGTAATAGTTTCTGTCGCGAGTCATTGGGAACCTTTTAGGAGGTTCGGCAAATGCTGTTTACATACTATCGATTCCAACCGGGCACTGTCTACATAATATGGGTCGTTAACTGTGGGGTTCTGCCCTGATCGGTAGACCTTGTTTAGCCTAGACCGCTTTCCACTAATTCTCAATACCTCTCTTATACGTTACCCCAACAGTCCGGCTCTTCAGTTACTCACCGATAATATAACCCAATTGGCAAAGGTAGCGCAGTAGGTAGCTAGCTTCACGAAAGTTCACATAGCAAGTTAAATCATTATTCAAAACATTTGTTCACACAGAGATTCGTAGAGATTGTAATAGAGGCAACACAAGCGGTAACGTTACTTTGAATCTTGTCGTATACCCATCATGCAAATATATTTTCATTTGAATACAATGACCTGTTGTTATGAAAAAGTTGTCTACCCAAGTGAATTTCTGTAGTAAAATATATTATTACATTTTTAATATTCAAGACCTCGATTATTAAATATCTCCCCTGTAGTACCTAGTGAATTGTCCCCGATGTAATAAATATAGATAAAAGCATCCTTTTAGGACAAGTAAATCAATTATCTTAATTCACACCACCATTGATCAAGTTAATCAATTGGATTTTAATAGCAGTTTTACCAGGCTCACGTTTCTCAAGTTAACTTAGCCTATGTAGCAGTGCACTATGTTTAAAAGCAAGATGACTCAAACCAAAAGCTGTTATTTTTATATACGTAAAGTAACATCAAGTTATATAATCGATTAACATCCTCAAGGGGATTACAACTGTACTACTACCCGACTAAGAAACTGAGTTTCGTTTTAAGCGTATCAGATAGGAGGTATTTGTAACTTATAGTATAGCAAAATATTTTTACTAAAATTGTTTACATTTGTAGATTTTCAAATGATAGATGGTAAGATTCACTTTTGGATTGGCCATCTAGCGCTCAACGATTTTTGTAAAATTGCCCATTTAGCATGAACGCATTTTCACTCGCTGCATTTAGCTCGAAAACGTACCCAGACATACTAGGGTGCACCAGAACAATAAGCCAACGCCCCGCAGCCGGCCCTCATCGAGATATAGGGGCCTGATCGCAAACAAATCAGCACCGACAGATCCGCGCGAACAAAAAGCATATTTAAACTAATCTCCTCGTTGAATAGTTGTTAACGTACGCTGTGGTAAGTGATCATTTATTTCTGAGATTCTCCAGTATTACGAGCCAGATTTTACGCTGGCGTAATGTCGCCACTGTTTTTTGACTAAGACAGGATACAAAAAGAGCCGCAAACGATCGTCACTACTATGTTGAAATGTGTATTTTGTATACGTGATCCGAACGTATCGGGCAGAATAGTTTCCGTACACCAGTTGATATTAAATAAATACGGTGAGATTTCTAGAGAGAACAGTTCTAATACGGAAATGTTTATTTGTTTAATTATTTGGCGCTATTAATCAAGTTCCGTGCGCCACACGGAAAGTGTGCCCATCTTGTTTACCGCCTATTACAGAACCGCTATACACTATCCAACGTGCCTTCGCTGATTTTTTTGTGTGTGCTACGCAGTCTTTTCTTTTATGTGGAATATTTGCACCTGAAATATCTACTCTTACGGTTTTTACAGCTCGTATTATTATTATTATACGATAGTTAATCTTTTCCTCTAGCTAACTGAACCCCTCAGTAGTCCTGTCTGGTGGTTTAGAATGGTGTTTATGAAACTGCTGTAAGAGTCATATTAGCATGGGTAAAACATCAACCCCCTACTAACGTTAACGTCGTAAATGTCAATAGTCGCTAGTAGAAACTACTGCAAAAAGTCAAGTACGTTCAAGTGAAAAGTTACATAGGGTAGTAAGTAAACCTCTTTGTTCCGGGTTTTTATGTCCGGTATCACCGTTTTGCATTCCATCAGATGGCTAGCGTCCGTCATGGAACGATGTGTGCCTATGGCGAGTCTCGAACCTAGACCACGACGTGTCTTTAACGAAAGTACGTTACCCACTCAGCTATCACATGGTTCTATCGACCGATATGCACCAAAGCGGCACGCGACGTGATGATCTCGTAAAAATTCAAAAACTTTCAAATGACAATCTACTATTGGTATTGGTTAACCGAATGCCTACGAAATACAGTCTCTGCCCTGTTTGCAAAATATTTTGGCACAACACCGCTTTTTTTCTCTGACATTTCAATTTCATCCTACTCGTTCTTCAAGCCAAGCTGATTCGAAACATTGTCAGATTTATTTTCAGAACGACCGGCACGTGTATATACTACTCAGAAACTCTTTGTCAGTTAGTTTCTTTATCTATCAGCTGGTCGGGTCCCCTAAAATATGCCTATATGGAACAGATTTTTGATCCGTTTTTGCGGGTTAGCAGAGCTTCGTCCTGGAATATCTTATGCTTTCTACGTTAGCAATTAATAAAATCGTTTTTAGAGGCGGTAATTTATTGCTTATTATGGGCAAAATCGGACGATTTGATGAAGATCACGTTGAATAGTTCTGCAATGGTTATATCAGAATATTCTTCAACGTTTATAAAATGGGAAAGATTTATTCTCATGTTTGTGAAACGAAATCCTGTGAAGTATGTCGACGTGAACGCTGAAAAGCGAACACATTGCAGTCATTGAAAACACGACAGGTTCCAACAGAAAAACAACGTCTGTAGAGAGTAACGGTATGATAGTAACCAGAAGGTTTTCACCTGGAAAAGAGTAGCTCAAGCCACGTTTCAACGACGGACGAACACCGCAAGCAAAGCTAACAGTTAGTTTCACATAGATGGGCGGAACAGCATTCGTTGGATTTATTGGCTACTTTAGAAACGACGCGACTCATCTATCTACATATGCAAACGGGATTACCGCACCGAAAGGACCAGCACAGAAAAATCGGTCCAAATTTGCGCTTGGAACGTTTCAGAAACACAGAAGTGGTAAATGGAGCTTGTTGTATAGTAACTAAACTATGATTAAAGTTGGATCAGACTGATATGACAGTTGCGCAAAGCTTAAGGGGACGATGAAGTCTCAGGATAATTGAAACTGGAAAAGCGTAAGCCTCTAATTGAGATATAGCTTATTTTAGTTTAGGTACGGCACAAATGAAATTCATTTAAGCGAATAAAGTAATGGCTGCCGCAAGAAGAGAAGATCGCTGGCAAAATTATATGAGGCAACATATTGGGTGGAATGATGCAACGGCTACGTGCAAATCTGCTACTGCGTATCCGAATTGCGTTTATGACATATATATATGTTTATAACACGTATAAGCAAGATTATGTCGGCCAAATATATCAGTTCAATCTATCAACGGAAAAGTGATCGTTACTATAAGGGGCAATAATGTTTGCAGTTACAATTACTAATATAATTATTAATTTCGTTGTTATTTACGTACGAGGAGGAGAAGGGGAAACCCATTAAGGGAAATAAACTCATTACCAGAAAGGCATGTTTTTGTATTGTTTATGGCATGAACTTTACTTGAATGAGCAATTTAAGCAACTTGTTATTAATGCACACAAAAATTTGACCTTGTTATTGCAAAATGTATAAGATAAGCATTGTTAAAACGTTACTCGAGATGGCACACTCTACAGTTAAATGACATCTTTTTATGGAGCACTCTCTGTCTGTTAACTTGTTCAGAGATAGTATCATTGTGATCTCTTTACCACTTATTATACTTTCGAAATATCGTAAACGTATCAATCTGCCTCCCTTGGCATGATAAAGCCAAATTTTACTCTAAACCTTATACACCTGCAGGTCTTATTCGTTTAAGGACAAAATTCTGAACATTTTTTGATTCGGGAACCCTCGCCAGTGCATGGTATCTTTATAGAAGTATAATGAAAAATTTGATCTCCCATAGGCCTTTATTGCTATCTAAGCGTTTCGTGTGAATGTTGCAATACGCAGTGTAACCTGTAAATCGCAACCCGTCATCGTACCACAGCGTGTAATTCCTCGCAAACCCATTCGATTTGATGCCCCACATAAATTAGGAGAAGAGTAGACGCTATTAATTTTTGAACATGCATGTATACATTGAAATGTACTTGAGCATGATAAGAGAAAATGGCTTTTTTCGAATAGAAAAAAGAAGTAAATGATCAGGCCAGTAATGCATATCGGGATTTTTCACTCGCGGGCTATTTGCTAACTGGTCACGTTGCGAAAAATCGTTACCTAGGAAGATTTCTTTCTGTCATTTCGGCGATCTAGAATACGCGAACAGAAGTAGTATGCAACCAGGAACGGTCTGCCACTTACTGAACGATTATGACGAAATTTAGCCGTTATTGATCTGGGTCGTCACAGGGCCAGGGGACAGTCACACTCATACTACTTGTCGTTTGTTCGTCGTTACTTTCTCTCAGTGTGAAAAATTAGCTATAGATGTGTTTACAAGGTACGAACAAACAGCCCATCGCTTCGGGTACGTAAATAATTACCTTGTTTGGTATAAACCGTCATGGACCGACGGAGACAGTTTACAAACACTGCAACGTAATTGAACAATAATTACACATGATGGCCAGTGAAACTCACATTTATTATAACGTGTTACCTTCGCCAACTATCTCGGGTTTTTACCATTCGCGTGCTACGCATGTTTACTGCTGTAAGCCAACGGGTCCTATTAATAAATACTTTAATACAAATGCTTGCTAATAACAGTCTAGAGTACGATTAGCAAAGACTGTCAATTCAAAGCTTGTCTACAGCGAATACGGTAAATCCAACCAGCTCGTTCGGGCTAAACCGCACGTTGGTTGGGCTGTAGCCTGTACCTGTTAAGACCTGTCAGTATGCGTGATTTCCCTGCAAGCTCTTTCTCTTCCCAAGCTCTAGTCCCAATTGTGTAGCCTGATTTCAGGTAGTGAAGTGATCTTCCTTAACGAAAAAAGCACATCTGCTGCCATTGAAGCTGGTGTGTTTAGAAGGTTTCTCGCAAGCTGCCAGCTTCGTAAAACTACGAAGTACAGCCACGGTACAAGATAGCTTGATTATCGGTTATCATGGCGGACATCAGGGCAGTTTCTGTAAAGGACAATGACCAGGTTATGGAGGCTTCTAAGGAAGAGGTTAGCCAGATCACGGCGAATATAGGTACGGACGGTAGTAAACGAATTTGCGTTGGTTATAAAAGATGAGGTAAAAACATAAATTCCGATCTTATGCATCATTATGACCCTTCTACGAATAAAGGTTAGTTGTCGTGTGTAAACATTCGTAGACCTACGTGAAACCTGCCAAAGAAGTCGATGTACGCTGCACCCAATGTGTTACGCTCAGCTATTTCGATATGCTGACATGGAAAAATTGATTCGTCTTCAATTGCATTAACTTCGTGATCTTCGAAAACGACCTCAAAAGTGTTAGTTGAGCAGGGTCGTTATTAACATGAAATGCATCACCACGTTTGAGGAGTCCGGAGTACAGGATTGAAAATTCTGTTACATAACGATGTTACCGCCGCATTTTAAATGGTGCGTTCGAATTGTGACTTAAATGTATAAGAATATATTTGGTCATCCTGGTAGTAAAACAAGGATGAATCTATAGCGCTAAATTTGGGTTCGTATATACATTTTTTGCAAGTTTCATCAGCCTAAGGAAAGTAATGAACCGCGTCGCCTAATATCGCAAGTTGCTTAAAACCTGTCGAAGATCCACAGATTAGAACAAATAAAATCGATATCTCTACGACAAAACAACCAATGACTACAGCATTCAGTGAAATAAAGGGGTAATAGTAAATAAATCATGGGATAATAGTAAATAAAGGAAAGGTACGCAAATATGAAACCGAATACTTACAATAGTAGAGACAGATTCAGCAAAATTATTATACAATAATGGTCTAAAAGCTTGGACCGAAATCTGCGATTTTTCTCGTCGATACCTAGCTGGTAATAATGGCTGTTTTCGTTAAGAGTACCCAGCATCGACATACTATGTAATAGTGTAAGATTGATTCTAGCTGAACAATGTTTGCCTGCTGATACACTCTAGTTCGCTTTCTGAAAAGCGCAGGCGGCTTGATTGAAGATCATCTCCGGGAAGTTAGTATGCTACATCGATAGGAGGAAGGACAAATTTTAGGTTTGCTGAGTTCTAGAGATCGCACTGTTCAAGCTTCGGCTGCAGCTGGATACCACGGTAGATTGTGGCGGTTCGATAACACTCCGCCATTGTATCGGCAAGCGTTAACCTGTAGTAATCGTATATATCACAAATCCAGTCACCTGTCTCATCTCGAGTATCTCTTATCGAACTGCCTGCTATGTCGTGTCCTTAAGGCAACCATCGAATATTTCTTCGAAAAAATGCACGCGTACACATACTATTAAGACAAACCCGGCGTTGATTGAGATATACCCGCCTGAAGTAAAGGGTCTGGCGTGGGGCATTTGATTGCAACTATATTGCCCATGCGTAAAGGTTTATATTCTGCATGACTACTCAACGAAGCCAATGCTGAATCTAGAAATCAGTCTAGAAAATAATGAATCATGCACTAGTTTGTGTGCTCTAAACATTTGTCATCTGACCTTCTTTGTTCCTGTTATTCATGTTGTTATTATTATATATTGTACGACATTAACATATATTTTTCAGGTTACTCTCATCATCATTCGATATATATATATATATACAGTAGTATAGATTCAACGTTTTTTTAGTTCGATACTAAGCATGTATGTAAGGTTTGGGTAAGTTCAACATTTTCCAAAATCGGGTGATCTGTTTCTGTATCATCGTCTGGTAAAAGAAAGAGTACTTTTTTGCGTCGAGGGTCCAGTTAAATTGATCATGAACGTTGTCCACTTGCGTTTTACCAAGATGAACACTTTATTGGAATTCAGAACGACATGTATATATAAAAGAAGCACTTGAGCCATCCATAGGAACTACGAAGAGCTCGCAAGCGTACTGATAATAATACGCGTCGCGCGAAGTACGACGCCTTGTATTTGGCGAGTAATTTTAAATGATCAAAGTAAGCTTGCGCATTGGTTTGTGACCTTTTAAAACGAGCTTCGTTATCGGCACCTCACATCGGAGATCTTCCACAAAAACTTGCAGTACGAGCATTGAGAAAGGGGACTGTTTGACAGGAGAATAGATTGCATAGCCTTTTTTCTACCAAATGTTTTTTATTTGTTGCCACTTTAACTTTTCCGTTTAGAGGTTCAAAACTTGCCTGAGTTGATTATGTCAGCCGGTGAATCTGCCATTCCTTTGAGCATCGGTGAGAATTATCTGCAAAATTTCGTAAAAGACCCGGAATCTTCAGTGTCCGGAGTGCTGAGTCTTAGATGAAAGCTTCGAGTATTAACATTCGCTTAAACGATGGGTAATTGTTACCAGGATATTTCGATAATGCTCTCCTTTACACAAGGAATAAACATGTACAGCTAGTCTTGTACCTTAATAATAGTATGATAAGCGCAGATTAACAAAAGGCGTAAACATTAGACACCTAAGCGTATTCAACCAAATCATTTTTCATATATATATATATATATATATAAAGTAACAAAATTAAAATTCATTGTTGTCATTTTTTAGAAATAGCATAAAATCATGTCGGAAAGAAAAATGGTTTTATAATTATGTCTAGTAGTGTAGATGGCTGTAGCAGGGCACATACCAGGTTACACTTGAAGCTGCTGTATCTATACGTATCGATACGGTTTTTCTTCCACATGGCAATCGGTTTTACGTGCTCACTGTGTAGTATGTCTGGCTTATACACAGAATACAGATACCTAAAAAGCGCCCTTTATTTCTCCATGATGTTACCTGTTATGAAAACACGCTTCATCTACTTTATTAATACATCTTAGAATCTTCTGCGTTGCTTTTTTTCAAGTTAGTTTGCTTGTAGGATTTGAACCAGCTGTTCCGCGATACGTATTTTTGCACCATCGTCTCTCTAAGCCGCGGCTGCTGTACGTGTTTGTTTTACTTGTTAGCAATAGCAGCCGTCGTACGCTGCAGTATACGATCCATTTGCGATTTTAGCATGTTAATGATATTTTTTTCCATAAATATTAATGTTGTAAATTCAAATGCGCATCTGTAGCGTGTATGCACGTGGGTTATTCTAGAAATTGATTTTGCATATAGCCACGGAGGGCTTTGATCTGAGTGATGCTATTATTTTTTGGAAATTTCCAGTCGACCAGTATCTGCCGAGAGTCCTTCTTACAGTCAGGCAGCACGTTGACCCCACGGCGAATGAGGCGAAAACGCACGGAGTATAAACAAAACGATACTATCAAGACGAAAAGTCCACAACGAGATGCAGAATCCCCGATCCGTGTTAAGCCGTTTTTTCATCTTCTGTGACCGATAAGGCCCGCTGCGGTGAGAAGTATTGTTGTGTACGAAAAAAAGCGTCGAAGACAGATTGCGAAGCATATTGACTATTAAAAGAGATAGGCATGCCTCAAATAGGCAACGTTCACTGGAAGCATGAACGTATGACTTCAATGCTGCTCTCCCGTACAAATCTAAACTAGAATTCGATGTCATGCAACAAGAAAGTAATATTAATATTCGTTCTATGTATCGTATTTATGTATATGGTCTATTCTTGTTAAATTATAAAGTCTAAAAGTTGCTTTTATGCTGTGATTAAGTGTGTAGTAGCCAAAGCAGTATCTGTTACATAAATTCGGATTCAAACTTTGAGTGAAAAATATGGTGTTGAATCACGGCAGAGGCTCACTGTCGATATGCAAACCAACCGAGAGTACCGATATGCTTTAGAGCAAGAGTAAAATGTCTACGACATGTCTCTAAAGTTGTGCCACTGGTACAGAATTTTTCCCCTGATCAAGAAATCGCTGTTGTGTCGTCAACCGATAACATCCTCCAAGGCTAGCTGCCACATCGAGTTCTCGGGGCAACCCCGGCTCAGCAGGTACGCAACTAGCAGGGGGAAAGGGCAAAGCAACTTGAGACAACAAACCCCGTATAAAAACGTGGAAGGTACTGAAAACTAGCTAGAGTCAATCGGATTCTGGGATACTCGCTTCAGCGTCGAGTCAGGATGGCCTTCCGCTTCGCGTGCATTGCAGCCTTAGCTGTTGCCAGTGCCAATGCTGGCATCATCAGCAATGTTCACTACGGCGGTGCCCAACACGCCTACAGCGCTGTCGGCCCCATTGTGGCCTATTCAGCACCGAGTTTTGTGAAGACCGTCCAGACTGCTCCGGCATTAGCAGCCACTTATGGCGCAGTCCCTGTTGCCACCGCCCACACGGTGCAACCTGTTCCGTCAATCGTGAAGTCTGTGTCCGTGGCCTCTACGCCCACTGTTGTTAAGACTGTCGCCCCTGCTCCAGCTCTTCTTAAGACTGTGTCAGTCTCTGCCGCTCCTGTTGTAGCCACTGCCCCTGCTGTTCCTACGCTAGCTGTGGCAGCCCCTATCGTCTCGTACGCCGCCCCTGTGCCTACCGGCAAGACCCACACTGTCACCACTCAGGCCGGCCGTTCGCACATCCACGTCGAGGAGTACCAGCAGGGCCCCCTGGTTGTCCGTGTCCATGAGCAGCCAGCTCCAGCCCCAGAAGTCGTCCGTGTGGCTGCTCCATCAGACCCACAGTCGCTGATTCGCGTCATCAATAGGGCTGCCCCCGCACCCACCGTTGACCGTGTGGTTCATCGCAGTCACGACGCCAACGTCGTTGACATTGCTAAGCCTGCCCCGCCTCCCGCTCGCATCGTGCAAGTCGTTCGCCAACAAGGACCTGCCCCACGAGTCGAATTCATCAACGAAGAGGGCCATGACTCCGTCCATCATCTTGAAGCTCAGGAGCCCGCTATTGCCTACGCAGCCCCTGCTGCCGCCGTTGTCAAAACCGTCCACGCTGCTCCCGCGGTGGCCACCACCTACGAAGCCCCTGCCGTTGCCACGACTTATTCTACTCCCGCAGCCGCCGTCAAGACCGTCCATGCTGCCCCTGCCCCTGCCGTGGCCACGACCTACCACCACGTGCCCGCTATCTCGTACGCGGCTGCCCCTGCTGTATCCGTCCACAAAACGTTCGGTGCTACCCCCGCTGTTGCCACCACCTATTCCACCAGCACCTACGGAGGCCCCGTTGTGTCGACCATTGGCGGCTTCTCCCAGAGCTACGGCAACACTGTCGTCCTTGACGCCAACAAGAAGGCTAAGTCTGCTTAATTTGAGATGTCATTGGAATTCATTTCGTTAAAATTACGTGATATAGAGATTTCAAATATAGCTTCGATGTTTAACTAGGATATGTAAATAGAATAACATGCCCGTAAGGGCTTAACAGCAATAGTATAAAGTCGGATATGGGAGACGTATTGCCAAAGGCAAGCATTTCTGCGGTAGTAACATCAATATAAACTGCATACAATTAAATGCGCCTGTATCTTCATTTAGCAAATTTAAGCTAGTTTTATTCATGCATCGTCTTTTGTTATACTTTCTACAATTGAATTTGTTAAGCATCTCGAACGCGTTTGCCTGGTCAAACTTATATAACGATGACAACTTAACTAGCGCTGCGCGGAAGGACGCTTGCAAATATATAAACATGTTTATTGGCTTATTTTTGGTAGGCAACACTGACGCTTTCAGTTAAACCAATCGTTGGGTTAACGTGCTCGAAGCTGGATTGTGTATAAAATTTATAACAACCGATAACTAGCAGAACAATGGCCATGGAAGTCGGAATCTAAAAAAACTATAACAAATGACCTGACCCAGAATGCCTAGCCTAGAAATGCATCGAACTTACAGAGGGTAGAAGGGTAATGTAATAACATCAAAAGCTTTTGCTCTGACTATAACTGCTCGACTAATTAAATCCGTCTCGAGGAGAAAAAATGAACAAGAAATTACCTATGTGGAAAGCATATACGGATATAGGATAGGTAAATTTTCCCCCATCAGCTGGGTGTTTTATGCTATTCATTAATCGAGATAATTCCTTCGGAATTTTCGCAGTTGTGCCATGACAGTTAACGGCATACGTATATTTTTTCCGCCCGTGATTGTTTTTTGTTATGCTCCTGAAAGTAATTCGTTCTAGCAACGTCTATAACATAACAGGCGATATGTATCGTATAATGTAGCGATAATGTCGTACTCAGAATTGGCTGTAATCGTTATCGTCATACCCGGACAGTCGCAGGTGACGACATTAAAAGTTAGTAAAGAAAAGTAAAAGATATTGAAGGGACTGTATTTTACCCGACGTTTCACTAACGATTATTGTTATGACTGAGAAAAAATTAGCCTGCCTGGACGTATTTCGTATAGAATTCAGTTCTGATCTGTTTGTTCTACGAAAATTACGATCGCTTACATGCAATTGGGCAATCATCACACGTTTAACTTACGACGTTAGCTATAATTGGCAATGAATCAAATCTGTCGAGTCGAAGTTCACAGATCCATGAACATTTGGCTAGAAGGACTCTTACTACCATTCCGAAACCGGCCCTAATTTCAATTCCTTTGCTATTATCTTTAATAATTATCGAATGTCATCTCGATTTGTCTTCGATCGCGTGATGGTTTCTATCCATCAAATTGCGGGTGTCATTAAAAATGACGTATCGTACACGATCGTATGCATTTCAAAGGGTGCAGAATTTCAAGTTAGCGATGCTGGCTTGTCCTGATGCCTTATTTTTATTTTTCAAACACATAAAAATCAAATGAATACAACACGCAGATTTTTACAACCAGCCGTGCAGTCAGGTGGACGGTATGGTGCACATGTTTTGAACAAATGCACAGTAGTTCAGCTTGACGAGTTTTCACGGGCCAACGTCGAGTCGCAGATATAGAACGCCTCTGTCTGCCATTTTACCATGTTTGTCTGAATCTTTTTGACACCCCGAGCGCTCAATTCTGGGGTCGATCATTGCTATCGTCTGCTGAACCGATTGCGTCACCCATGTTCTGGCACAAACAAAATTACTGCGGGCGTTCGTTACTCAAGTCGCGCGTGTTCTCTCATTGGCTTGATGCGGCGTCCTGCTTCCGACAAACGGCAAGCCCTACGTCGGCTTTAGATATGTCCGCACGAGCGTTTTAGCTCTGGGTCTACTGTTTCCAGCAGCGAAGTAAGCAACTGCAGTAGTTCGTACAACGAAGACGGGGATCGGTACCACAAAACTCTTGTTGGCCTGAATGGCCCAATTCGACTCGCCGCACCCTTTTAATGGCCAGAAGAGCTCCATAGCAGCAGAAGCATCAGACGGCAAAAATTGTGTACTCATCGCACAACTACCGCATATCGAAACAGCCCTGCTATAAGAGACGTGCCGCTTGCCAAGAGCGATTCAGTTGGTCTTCATTCGTGAGTTTGCTCGGTAGAATCACAGCCGTGAGACGATACTGTTAGAAAATCAAGCGCTCAGCATCAGTGGGTAGGTCGCGGGAACTTTCTGTGCGCGACGTCGCCCAGTGAGCTTAAGTGAAACCGTGTAACACCTTTCGGACATTCGACGGAGCCTAGTTAGACAAAACCAGCCAATATGGCTTCGACGATACAGAGTCTGCTACTATGCACAATAGGCATTTGTGCAATGTTGGCGTCCTCGGCACAAGCGCAAAGAAGCCCACTCCGCCGGTTTGGATACCCAAACGACAATTTTGTTGACCACGAATGCGCCCCAGTGGGTCGTTGCCCACGACCCTGCAGACTTGGAAAAGAAATTACTGGATGCGCTCTTTGCGTTTGCCGTAAGTTCAACTTGCTTTATTTAGAAATAGATAATTTACAAATAGCGAAGGCATCCGCGAATTATGGGTAGCTGCCGATTTTAGTTTCGTTCAGGTGTCATCATTTCAGGTTCATTCAGGCCAACGAACATACACAATAATACGTCAGGCGCTTGATAGTGTACATTTCTATTTTGGACCTTAACGGCAGGATGTGTAAAATAGTACCAACTATAATTTGGTCTCTACTAATAGGCGTCCTACTTAAGGCCTGTAGAAAGGAAACAGTTGCCGTTTTTGTCACAATACGCTAATACATAATTGTTGCTTCCTGTTTACCTTTCAGCTCCCGCCTGCAAACCATGCTTCAGCAACTGCTATTTTCCGTCGAGGCCTGACGAGTGCCCCCAATGTGCCTACGATTTCTACTGCGAGTTGGGACACGATTCGATCTATCCGGAAATAAGCTTTGCACCTGGACTCGGACTGGGCCGGTAAAGTTACTATCTCGCAAAAGAAGCGAGACTAGGTGCCAACTAGTCCGTCATTCTTGGAAAGCTTCTTCTCAAACAAGGACTATTGTTGCTAAAGCGTGACTGCGAAAACGAAATTCCACAATTAAATGTGATGAAAATGTATATATACTACAACCATGATGATAGTAGAGGACGCGTTGACTGATCGATGAAGTAAAGGATATTTATTATATTTGGTAAATAAAATTGACATTTTGTGTTGGATATGTGTATTGGTTTACAATGTTATTGTATTATGTTTTAGAAACGAAACTAGTAGATGTGGGATTATCATTTAACGCACTGTGTGTAACAAAGCGAACCCGTAATAGGCATTTATAGAACGAAAAACCAGCTAGGCATTCTTTGTCAAACAGTATGGTCTACGCCAAGTTCGATATAGAACATCGGTAATTACCCAGTTGCGATTCGTCTCAAACAATCAGAGTGCCACATGCCGCAAGCATACCTCGTACTTACAGGGATTTAAGACCTCGAATTGTTTAAGGCGCAATTAAAAATTGAATTACTCTTGAAGCTTAAATTTTTTTGTTCTGACATGCTTGCGTATCAATCCGTATAATTTTGAAGCAAGCCTTACCTTTTTGATAGTTTGTAAATATTGATTCACGGCATATATACCACCACTAGAAAAGGATACCTATTTTCGAATTGATCCATACTTAATATATATATATATATATATATAATGTTCCAAAAATTCCGAAAAATTACTAGAAGTGAAAACAAAGTTATAAGAAGTAAGCCATTAAGGCGTCCTTATCTAACTATTTTTTCAATGATGGCTAGTATCTAAAATTACAAAAGTTTCGATACAGATAAATAAAAACACAATTTATTTTTCATTAAATTGATTTTATTTTGCTTTTTTGAAATTAATGATTAGTTATTATAACTCCACACTTGCACAAACGGTCCGAACGCATTTAAGCTGAGATTGCTTTGACTATATGACTCAACATTACATTTTATTGTCTAAAGGGGACAAGCCAATAGGGAGAACATAAGCAACTGAAGTAGCCTTATGCTGGCTCGACAATTGGTTTGATAACCCTAACCATTCAAATGTACTGCAATGGGTAATTAAAATAGTAAACATCGTTTTACGTAAAATTTTTTGTTTTTCCTTAATTAATTTAGAAAGCCAGAACTAAATAAATTCTGCAACTGTTGCTTCTGTAGTAGCGGCATAACTTTTCGCAAAAAGCTTTTACTGTATAGCCGTCAGTGACATATATTTTAATTTTATCTAGTGCGAAGTGGCTTGCTTATATTACAGCTCATTTGATTCCGCAGTTAAAAGCAATCCTCTTTTAGACTTTCGTATTTCGGTCGTTTTCCGATACGATAAACGGAAATCCCAGCGGGTACAGCTTCGAGTACGCCCGAAGAGACATTGTAACCAGGATCACATGTTGGATATTTCGGCCTTGCCCGTCTAACGCTCCTGATTAAGCTTTGTATTTCGAACAGCGGTAGATAAACTTTAATTACGTGCGGGAAGTTGATGAATAGTTTGTCCAAGTGCGAAACTTTACTAGGTACCTGTCGATGCGACTTAGAGTCTATCAGACTGAACTTCACCATAAAAGTAAATGAAGAACTAAGGTTTATCAGTACAATGTTGAAGTGCTCACCTACGTCTGATTTCCGTCGCAGCTTTCTATACGTCGCATAAACGCGCAATCGTCTCTGAATAGGCAATTCACTGGCAACCTTGACACTAAGTTTTCTGCCATTACACAGAACCCTCTTCAGGTACGGGTACTTCTCTGAAATGGCAGCAATACGGAAGGATTGCCGTACACTGTTGTCGTCGTCGTCGTCATCCTTATTCTGAGACGCTTCATTAACAAGATAATCCTTAGAGTGAACAAAATTAAAGGTTTGCATATAACGTTCGCCCATATGATCTCTGTATTCAGGGCACATCAGTGGCTCACCAGTGATATCAACTGAAATATTGATTAGGCGCACGGGAAAATTTAGTTCACCTCGGCTCGATTCGGCTACATTATCCCAGTCCAAAATACAGGCCAGTGCGATGTAAGCCGCAAGCGCTGACAAACTCCGCAGGAGACCTCTTGATATCGGTCTAAGGACGCGCTCGGCCCTTGCTTCTCGCTCTTCGATTTCTTCGAATGTGGTTGGCGGACAAAAGAAGTTCGACAGGATAGCTCGCACTTTAAGACACATCTTGAGTTTCGACCTTCGCCAGCTAATAGACTTTTGTAGTCTAGTAGCTTATATAAAAGTGCTTTTCGCATTCTGTTGCCATTGAATTCATTGTGTTAGTTGCGTTTTAAGCGACCTAACACTTCGTTGCTCTTTTTCTTCAGATCGTTAATTGAACAGTGCATTTAATTTCTACGAGGCATACACAATGACATTACGTCTGTTCGTTTCGGCTCGATCCAAACATACGAAAAGCCACTTATTTTAGTACTCGTTTGATTACAATAAGGATGGTTAAGCATTATAGAAGTATGCCTAAAGGTGTGCAGTTTAGCATACACCATTGTCTATGACAAGGAATATATTAAGACGAGAGGGTCGTTGTCGGTCGCTTTTCACTGAGTAGTTACCTGCAGAGCAATAATAAAAGGATTATAAAAGATTTCTACACTACAAACCTCATCTGCGCCATCTTGAACGCTGTTTACCTTATTTGCACGTACACATATTTTGCCAGCGTAAGTTTGTATTTTTAGCCGGTACAACACGATACGTAATGGTGTGAAGTTAACATTGGCCAATGTCACTTGACTACATTTTCTGTTGATTTGTGCCAATAGTTTGTTATAATTTATACACTCATTGTGTCAGGCACATGTACTAAATATGTCTAACAATGATGAAGATAATTAATTTAGCGTAAAACAATCATCATTTGTAAACATTCACTTGATCACCTCGTTCAATAGCGATTCTCGGATACGAAACCACTAAAGATACAGAAGATACTTGGAAGGTAAGATTGTAGCTTGTGCTTTGTATCAATTTGTCGATTCGAAAAAAGTAAAACGAAAAACCTATTTATTGGACCAAACAAACCTTTCATCGGGTTGTTTGTGAAAAACGTCCTGGTGTTACGTGCCTATACTTATATTCTGAAAATTACTTTTATTTGGCTGCAGTTATTTCAATGAAGCCTCCACTTAATGCCAGCTAACGTGTTAATTATATAACAAAATTATAGAAGCTCAGGGCTTTGCAATATTAAATATAAAGTATTGCAAATATTTCGTTATAATGAATGCTATTTTCAATAAATCAAATGCCATCAGCAGAGAGCCTGTTCTGTTCATTGCAAGTAGTCACAAGAACTACATCGGGCTGCTATGCAGATCACTTAAGCTTTTATGTTTCTACTGGGATATCACCGAGTTGTGAAAATTTCGATCCATAAATTCAACCATAGGATTCGTTAAATGTCGAAGGGTTACCTTTATTTACTACCGTGAAACCGGAACGCTGGGGATCCACCACACCAGTGTGTCTTTGTCATAAGGCAATACCACATTTAGGATTCTCTAAAAAAATTGAAGACTGCTTTAAAATTGCAATAATGAACCAAATGTCATTTTTGGCTACAACAACTATCACCAGACACCTAATGATAAAAAGGCCCATTTCTTTTCCTTCCTTAAACTCCGATATAAATGCTTTCAACAGTAGCGCCAAGCACAAGCCACTACAACAGCGCCGAGAGGGAACAAGACGACGCAATTTGCATTAAAATCCGACTGTTTAATGTAGATTCTTTAGCGTTCTGGATTTGTCACTCATGTAAGTTTGCTTCTTGTCCGCTATAAACAAAGACCATATACTTAATACCGTTTCTAGATGCTATTGTTGCTTTATGCTAAAATAAAATGTCCAGGTCCAGTATTTCTAAAAAACGAATGTCAAATTCATAAAGTGTATAAATGACCGATATATGGCTCTTTTTGCGAAATGCGCACATAATATCCGTTACGATTAGGGATGCAATTCGGAATACCTATTAAATTCTAATTTACGCTAAAGTAGGTGTGCTTCCAGTGAAACATAGTTCGTTCCGCTAACCTTAGTTACATGAGGTAAAACGCCTATGTATGTATGTTAAAAGAGTAATAATAAGCGACTACAACGTTTAACTATAATCTAGTCAACCTATTTCAGTCAACTCTCTCATTTATGCGTCTTCACGGGCAAGTTTGTTGCTGATTCTCACCGACAACGTATTGCAACGTGAGCTCGAAAAGAAGTCAAATTCTGTCTCGGTAATATTCGTCCCCTATGTTGCTTCAGCACTAATAATAGTTGAAGACATATAAGATAGCAGAACCGAAACTGGAGAAAAAAACTTAAACAAGACCATCTTGCCGAAGTGTTCGATGCACCAATACCAAGATGAACCTTTGCGTCGTTATGCTACTTCTGCTAATTGTTTTTGTTATCGGCGTCTTAATTGGTCGTTTCACAACAGACCCATTAGGCTTTATATGGACACTTGTCATACGAGATATTGTGAGCGCTGTTTGGCTGAATGGACCACTAATAAACAGTACTAAACAATGGGTACAGGATACTTTTATCACCCTAGGCCTTGTAAATGGAAGCTAAATTTAATAGGTCATATCTTCTGATACTCCTCCTGAACCTGCGCTGATGAGTGAACGTAGTACTGATGAACCGCAAGCGTCCATAGAAGAAAACAAATTTTCCACTGCAGTTTTATAGGAAAAATAGCGTCTTTATTTGCAGATTCAAGTCGACGATGATGTGACAGTTATCTAAATAATAATAATAAATTCGAAAGCAACCAACTATTCATACGATGTAGTACAAAGTATCGCATCGTTGCAGTACAATTATTCAATAAAGGAGCAAATGTTAACCCCCCTTCTAGTAGTTGGCTTCTTCTATGCTTGTCTTCAGATTATCAAGAGTTCCGTCATGACTACTCCAAGTTTGGATAATGGTTGATTATTTCTCGCTCGTAGATTCTCCGGTATATGTACATATCAACATTTAGAAAAAACTGCAAAGTAAACTGTGGATTGTGGTAAAGACAAACCGTTATTTTAAACCATTTGTACGTGTTTTGTAACGGAGCGACGAAAAATTCGTAAGAACGACATAGACCAAATGGATAGTCTCCTAACATATTATGTCACGCGATCCCCGACAACGCGCACTTTTACTTGTTTGAAGGGTCATGTATCTTTCATTTGATATTTCCCGTTGAGTATCGGTGTCTATTGTCAGAACTCTTATTTATGCGGCACGTTATGATCTGGTAAAAAAAATATCAGCCACAGTGACGGAATGTCGTTTTAAATCGTTTCAAAACAATGGTAAACATTGATTTGCTTGAATATCGAATATATGCGCTACTATGACCATATCTGACAGTTTAAACATGCGCTTAATTGGCATCGTAGATACACCAAAGATAAAGTCCAAAGTCAGAGCAAATGTTGCTGCCCGCATATATATCTGATATAGTATTATTTGCGAAACAGTATTAATCGCAATAAGGTCCGAAGGAGATTTCTGTAAGGCAAAAGAGAGGATCTAAAAAAATGATGAAAAATAATTTTTCCATGATTCCTGGTCTTTAATAGTAAAGCACATTGGCTGTTCAGTCCGAAAAAAAAGCATTAGTAACTAATTAAATAGTCTAGTTTTTTTTCTAGATCTTTTGATGTGGAGTGTTTAGGTAAAACTTTAGCGAATCCATTCATATCAATTACAACTACAGTTAAAACGTTCTTCGCAAGTTTAACGACGGAATTTTTGAACGTGGTGGCTTCAGACCCGAATTAAGGCCCGCAGGTAGTTAAATTGAATATTACAAGGACGATTTTCTAGTTTTCGCCAAGAACATGCGTTGCCTGTATTTTATTTTGAATTTCCGCATTTACTCTCTAATGGCAATTTAGTACAGACAAGAAGAGATGTGCCTGTAGAAATTCTGCGTCGGCGTTGAGTAGGCTTCTTGTGGCAGTACAACGAAATATCCTTACGATAATAATTCTTTTTATATGTTATTTACATGTTCTTATCAGTTGCTTTAAAACTTTAGACCAATCGAATGACCGAAACAGACAACAATAACTGATGATGGAGCCGTCTTGACAATTTAGAAAACATCTAATACCAATCTACGTTGTATATTCTAATGGTTCTTTCAACATTATGTTTATAAAACACCCATTTGTCTAAGCTAAATTAGCATACGATCGGCATCATTAATGATCAAAGAGCAAAACTACTCAAACAATATTGCTTCGTCGCGTGAACTTAATAGTCTATTTTCAGATATTCATTCATTTAGACTCTCTCTCAACAAAGCGTGACTATTTGCTGAACTAATCGACACTTATTGTTGTTGTCATAACCAAAGCAACACGTACCATTTCTACTTCAGCTCTAAAGTGACTTCACAAGCAAAACGCGCGATCGCGAAACCGCAATAGAAGGACGTCCACCGATTTCTTTCTACACGTATCGTGTTTTTATTATCAAGATGTGAGTGAACGAGTTACCACGAAGCATTCAATTTGCGCTTCTACTATGTACGTTTTATGCAGTCTTCACACTTGGTCGTCCTATGGAGGATTTATTTAATAGGCTTTTTAATTTTATCTGGAACGCTGCGTTTCCAAGTTAACGCACAGCATCAACAGTTCGCTAAGAAACGCGATCTCAACTTAAAACTGACGCTACAGTACCATAAATAATTATGGGATAATAGGGAAAAAAAAAATTCGTTTTTAAGGCCTGTATTTGTCCTGTGCGAGTAGCTAGGTTAATAAACGATGATTATCATAATGCATCACGATGACTTAACCAAAAAGTAGAGAAGTACAATATGATACATTTAAAAGCCTGTTTTTGGTTTTGCTGTAGCATCATAAATGGACCAAATGTTTTTATAAGATTGTCCAGTTGGGTACGTTCAGAGTTGCTCTGTACGCGTCGAACAATTCGGTTGTCAGCCTTGGTTTCCATTCACTGATAAGGATTTTTTTAAATAAAACAAAGCAGCGTAGTGTGGTGCTCACATTTCATGAAAATGTACAAAAAGGACCGGCGCATAAATAAACGTTTCATTTAATAATCATGTTGTTGGGCCGATAACAACAATTCCGGGCTATGCAAACCGCTGCTATGAGGCTCTTCCGAACACAATATTTAGCTCCTCCGCATTTAAACCTGCAAATATCTGCTTTGAAAGAAAACACATGCTAATCATTAGTAGATTTTTTTCTTTCTCACTAAATTCTGTTTAACTATAACCGATTAGACTGCAAGCGATATACTAGCTCCACCAAATTACAAAAATAAAACAATTTTCGCACGTTCAATTCTCCGTTAATACTTAAGCAACTTACAGTCTATCCGCTCGCGATAGGTCCCATGGTGTAATGGTTAGCACTCTGGACTCTGAATCCAGCGATCCGAGTTCAAATCTCGGTGGGACCTGGCGAACTTTTGTGTTTTTATTTTTCTTCTTAACGGTCTACTTACGATTTTCGCATTACACGTTTGTAGGTGATGACATCCTGTCTCATCACAGGAAAATTCTGGCCTTTTCACGGCACGTACAGGAAATAAAAGCCGGAGCATCAAGTTGTACTCTGACTGCCCAGCAAAGTTAGATACCTAAATCTTTAAAGCGCGGGTGTGGTATTGGTGGGTTGTTTGTAAATAGAAAGTGTCGGAAAATAGTTCGAATAGATTGTCAATATGTCGGGACCAGTAACTACAGATACTGTTTTACCTTTAGGTAAGATGCTTTCGCCAATTTCCCTAGCTAGACATTTAATGAGAAAACCCTACAAGATCGTTTATAATAGCTTTAGTTATTTTGTTGTGAAATATTAACAAAAAATAGAAAACTGAACTTCCAGAATTAGACACGTGTATGTTTATAGCGTAGCTGAATTCGGTATAAAGTTTATTTTCGAACTTCTCATTTTCTTTACTAGCACGCTCTTATGGGTTATGTTGAGTATTAATTATAAGCTCTGAATTACTGTTAATTCAGTATATGGTAACTCTGAACGGTAAAATATGAGCTCGGTCAAATTTTATTGCACCATTTTCGAAATAAAGATGTATGCAGTTCAATAATTAGCCCACAAACGATTTTCATCAAAAATATTAATTTTAAAACACATTTTAAGATCCTCCATGAATCATTGGAAGTAACATAGCGACTATTCCTCGCATTTTGATCATATCGTAGTTATGAATATACTTTGTGAAACTCAAATCTTTTTTCTTCTGCATCAGAACTCATCGACCAATGTATAGGCTCACGGATTCATATTATAATGAAGGATGATCGTGAACTCGTTGGTACGCTTAGGGGTTTTGATGATTACGTGAACATGGTTCTTGTTGACGTCACCGAATACGAAACGTCTTCAGATGGCCGAAGGGTCACCAAGCTCGACCAGATCATCTTAAATGGAAATAACATTACCATGGTAAGGCAAAATACTGCAACCTTTTTTTTATCTCGTACTTCCTGTCAATTTTTAATGCGTCATTCGTACTTTGTCTGTGTACCTATTTTACGAATTCTTAGATTCTGTCGCTCATAAGGCTATTGGAACCCAGCTTAGGTTAGCTCCAGGTTATGTCAGCTCAGCTGTCCAGTTATCAAGAATCTTAAAGAGAATTGGTCGATTAAGTCAACACATTTGAACTACCGTCTAGCACATACTATACATATATTCTTAGAATCCCTTTTTAAAACATCGCTGATTGGGAATCAGTATGCACGTTACGATATAACTATACACATATTCTTAGAATCCCTTTTTAAAACATCGCTGATTGGGAATCAGTATGCACGTTACGATATATTTCAGATGGTTCCTGGTGGAGAAATTCCGGATGCCTAACTCTTTGCTCACTTTTTGTATATGAAAGCTAATTTTTCGCATTCAATAAATTTACATTCTTTATATCTAAGCTTTACTTTGTTTTCACTTGCCTCAAATAAATTCTACGCGAAGATCAGATTATTCGAAATGTCGCTGAGAAGTGACGAGACATGACAAAGGCAAAATTATTTTCTATTTTTTTTTACTATAAGTGAAAATAAAAAAGAAAATGAATAGTTGACGACGTAAATATTACTAGCAGAAAGGCTGAAATCGCAAGAATATAGTTATAGTAAATACTACTAAATGCATACGTCCTTCGTAAATTGAAGATCGGCGTTACAAACGTATAAAAATGACACCTGAATGTGCCATTATTTGTTACCATAACAACCATTTTATCAAATTCTTTAGTTCTACAAAAAAAGGACCCGATTTAGACAGTAAATCTTTACAAACACACATTTATTTCTAGTTCCATGCTAACCCAGTCATTTACTTTCTATTGACCTTCGATATCGCAAGATGTTTGTACATGAGGTTATGCCCTTTTAGTGCCCAGGTTACGAATGCAAACCATTGGTTTACATGGATATTTCTTTACAGTGCAATTTTCTATCCCAAGATAGTTTAGTTCCGTCACTTATAGCTATTATATATCTATTTTGGCTATTAATTTAATCATGCATCATCTTTTATGCAACGGTCTATTTTTACACTGGCCGTTCTGCTGGTGGTACTAGCATTTAATTACACTGCAAACAATGCACTTTGTCCCATCATTTGTACCATTGTTCTCGTCTACTCAACGAGCTTTCGCATCTTTCAGGAACATACAGAATATTCACAGATGAAGTCTACACACACGTTGCGTTACAACATATCCCTCAGAGAGAAGCAAACAAATAATATGGAGGATTGGACAATTAATAATATCAATAATGGTAATAACAAACATATTCAAAAAGATTTTTTGGTGTCGCACCGTACAAGCTTTTTGTTGCACGCTTTTCATTTTTTTTTAAATTAATCTAATTTTAAAGATATCGGGATGCCATGTACAGTGATGCAGTCTCTGCATCTTAGCTTCGTATCTACCACCTGTTACTTCCTATTAAAAATCTATTTGTAACACATTTGGCTGTGTAGTTTTAATTGATATTCAAAAAAGGGTTTAATTTATTCTATTTAGAAGAATATACTTCGATTTGAAGGTTTAGTATTTACTGGAGGGCGCTGTTTCTGATTTGACACTGTCTGACGTACAATAATTGAAAACAAAAGATCTCGGGATCGTTTTTACTAACATGGCATAGAATCGCAATGTAGATCATGCAGCACTAGGTCGAATCTAAAAGAGTACATTTTTCTTATACCAACCTTGTGCGGACCTTTATTTTAAGGGGCCGAACGGATAGTCGGTTGACATATTACATATATATATGTAGTCACTAAAAAAAAAACTATAGGCTGTATTCTCTTGGAAGTATTTATATAAACTGCATAAATCACTAATTTTATCAAGAAGCCTACACGCTTGCTGGCATTATTCTTCGATAATTAGTTCGTCCTATGCTTTAATTTGTGGTGTAGTGACAATCACAACTTTGGAAAAACTTTGAAGTTGCCTAAACCATTCACACACGCTAACAGTCCATAGTTTTTATACAAACACACCAGCATCAACCAAACACGCTACTTAACAATGGACAATAGACTAACGAGATGAAATTAAGTTTACATTTAAGAAATAGATGAACAATTACTATATATTTGACTGTGCTTCGCACTTTTCACGACTTCGAAGATTGTTTTCCGAAGCAAACTATATTCACTGAAAGGAATAAATTCGCGCTGTAGCAACTCGAGATTTTTGTGTCAGTATAAAAATTATGCGGCTCAAACCTGACAATGATTTCTATTAGAATAGCTGTGACCATTTACCCACCAAAAGTAAACCCTAAAGGCGTGCTTAAACTGAAATCTAAGACTGTCAACTAGCTTGTATTCGAGAGTGCTGGCAGCTATGTTTCTCGTCAATAAATTCACTAAATTGTATTTTGTTTACTCATCTCAATAAGATAACACCCGATTTATGAAAATTGAGGCTTAAATTAGAGACCTTCTGAAATGCGATTAAACTCCACATCCAGCACGATGGAAGATTATATGAATATGTTATTGACACCTTCGTGCTTATTTCGAGCTAATGTGATAGGTTCTCCATGCTCGGGAGTCAGTTGCATTACGTGTCATTTTGCGTCAGCCTGTCCTACTCCGTGTCATTAAGAAACAAGGATGGAACATGGTGAGACAGTAAGGAGCAGAAAATCTACCATTATATTTGGAGTCAGTTCTTAAATGTAGCTCTGCTAAATGTTTCTTCTTTTTTTACTTGCGTTCGAGCTATTCATACTTAGCGATCAGAACATTCGACCAAGAACGACCGTTTCGTCATTATCCTCCCGGCAGATTTCCTGGAACCCAAGTCGCGCGTAAAAATTTATCATGTTGTGGTCGGCTGCATTAAGCTTGACATGAGCGCCGTGACTGCCGTTAGCTTTTAAAGCGGCGATCGCACAGGCTAGCAGACGTTTTGCGAGTGATCCGTCATCAATCTGCGGAAGCAGTGCCATAACCAGCAGCGAAGGGTAGGCGGGGTACGTGGTCCACGTAGGCGATGACGGCGAATGTAACCCGTTAATAATTTCGTCCGCTCTAATAAATTAACCATAAACACAAGAAAAATTGGATGATTAAAAAATGTTAAGCCATCCGCTATGCTGAGTTAAAAAAATAACTGATTTGAAAGAGAATTCGTATATAAACATGAATGTATTTGCAATTGCCCCACAGATATTTTTGATTTTAGGTTATGTTTGCAAACAATAGTCTGTCTCCATTTACTTTACCTATATATCGCTTCAAAACGAAATAAACACACAGTAAATAAAAAGACAGCAGGTAATAGGCCCAAAGTGTTATAGAGCTTTAAAAAATAAATTAATTAACAAAGATAATAAGGCTAAAGCTGGGCCCACCGCCGATTACTACCAGTCACTGATCTACTTCAATACTGTTAGTTCGTAATAACTTAGTTCGTTCGCTTCACACATCATCAGGAAATCTAACCTGGTAATTTGGTTGGTTTGATCCTTGACAGCGTTTTCTTTTATTTCACTGGCTTCTACTGTGGGCAAAGGGTACTTCTCTTTGAGCTCGGAAGTCCAGGCGATGTCTAAACGCTTAAAGAACTCTGCTGCATTAACAGCAGCTAAGGCATATCCTACGACTCGGTTTTCGTCCTCCATAACAAAGCTAAACTCACTTGAAAGGGCCAAAAAGCCCCCAATTGTCCTGTAATATTTCGAAATTACGACACAGATAAGTATAAACGTATATATCAGATATACGGATCTAGTAATTTAAACTTTTTGCGCTCTACATGGAAAACACTGCGTTTTTTTTGCCCGCAGATGATTTCATAGAAATTGAATTGAAGACCCATCTACACTGCGGTCGTTGCCGCAATTAATATTATGGTTAATTTAGTTAAGTCATTAAATTAGAAGTTAGTTTTTTAATAAAAGTTGATGCTATAGGCTTGGAGACTTACTTGTCCCCGATAAGGTCGGGATACCCCTCAAATTCCATAGTTCCGTCTTCGCCATCAATACACGTTCGAGAACAGACTTCGTACACGGCTCTTTCATCTGAAGCTAGGTATGGCCGAATTGTGTACGTTTTGTTAATTGGAGTATCTGGTGCTTTGTAGAGAAACAGATCATGCACTGTGTCGAGCGGAAGCAATCGTTGAAGTTCTGCTGTTAGCCCACCACGAAAGACCCAAGGTTCCTGTTCACCAGGTAGGAATGCTTGCTTGCCGTAACCTGAATATTAAGCGCAAAGAAACCGATAAGAATGTTCCTACATATGTACATATACTACTAGGTCCTATATGTACAGTAGATAACTACTTTTATAGACATTGCCCCACATAGTGCATGTATGCTTACCTTCGAGTATGTATGTTTCTGAGCTAATGGGAAACAAAATGGGCTGTACGCGGTTAGTATTATGGCCGTATGTATACTGGCAAATTTGTAAATATATTCTATTGTTGCTAAAATTCACTCACTTGATTCTTACCTTTCGAATAGCCGATCCATTTAATGTAAGCATTAATTAAAGAGATTACTCCTTTTATGTCCCAAACGTACGGGTTGAGATCATAGAGCAACGACCGATTAGGAATAAACATAAGTTTCTCCGACAGTTGATTGACACGCTGCGTCATCTGATCGAATTTTGTAGCCCGACGGTACCTGCAATTTTATCAGCGTGCAAGGTGTTAATACGGTTGCAAATATTTCACTATGAGATGCCTGAATTAAAGTCTACTAATTTCAATGATTATTATTATTCTTAATCTCAAAAAACTCTGTATTTTCAATCTAGGCAGCATGTTTTTTCTAAACTTGCAAACTACTAATCCCTGCAAATTCTCTGGTGAAGTCCTATATATGTGAACGTTGTAAAGGTGTATAATAAAACGCTATTAACAGCAACGTCGGATCTGAACTATGCTCGTAAGTCATAGCGTATTGTGTTTATGTATAGAGTCTTACCACTCGTCCAGTTCGGTGTCGTTGCGTTTTGTTGCGACATAGTGCGCGTTTCCTTTAAGCCACGCAAAATCCTGCAGGAACTCTATCCCTTGTCGACCGTGTTCAAACGGCAAATAGAATAGATCCACCAGAAGGCCAACTTCTGACGAATCAATTGGACCGCCTCGAGATTTTGACGACTCACCGGGGTCTTCCGATCCATTGGCCGCCGATGGGGGTAATGGGACTTCTTCTGTCTGCAAACAAAAATGGTTAAAAGACGCCGTTTTAATTCGTGAACTCGTTTCTAAAAGCATACTCATGCTTCACTGTGATGGTTTAGGTAAAATTTTATGTAGTGAATTATGCCCGCCCAGTGCCTCAAATAGAACAAACGTCTCATCCTCCACTGAACAAAATTTCGCTATATTCAAACGCAGAATCATTTTGCTTAAGTAAATTCTCAAAACAGCTTGAAATGTCCCATAACGCCATAAGGCCACTGCGTGTTCAGTTAACGCAAAATAAGGTGGAACAGTGAATTGATTAACAATCAACTTCAACGCCAGTTGAGTTTCCTTCGTTAAAATTTTGGGTAGACACTGACGTGATCATTAATGAGGTCTATTGCTCTACCTTCTATCGTGATCCTGCACTTATATCGCAACATTCGTCGTCGCTTAGCTTGCGTCATTCGTGCAATGCGTTTGAACAGTTGTTTTTTTAATTGGGTTGTGCGAGTGAAGTGAATGCAGCATTGATTGCAAGGCAAATATATGTACCTTATTTTCTACAGAACAGAATCGTAACTACGCACGAGTTGACCACTCACGTAATATACTTACTCAAATATACTTAAAAAGACCATTCCTTGCAGAGTGAATTGAAATGCTTTAGTGGCGAGATGTGATCACAATCCTTTTCCCTAATTTTCAATTTTTGTGTACGTTGGTGAATTCCTTAAAACGCTAAAAAATCAGCATGTGAACAATCTAACAGCGACAATTAATTTTTACCGTAGATCGTGATTCTCAGGCTTATAGGGGATCTTTAGTGTCGAAATCTCGAAATGTAGTCATAATTAGAGGAGAAAAGTCTCTGTTAGAACAATTTTACTTCCGCCTATTTGAGTGTATACTAAGCTGCTATTGAAAATGAAAAGCATTTTTTATACATGATATTTAGATGATAATATTTCGCATGAACCAGCCACCCCTCGTAGTGGAACCATTTCTATATACCTGCATTTCCTCTTCAACAGCCTTGGTTTCGACCTCATCAACCCCCACGGGCAATTCATTCGCCGCTGGAGCTTCAACTGGCTCGTCTTCTACAGTTCCGTCATCAACCCTTGAAGGACTAACACTTCGCGGCGGCGTAGGATTACAGTCCATAGGTTCGAGAAGGTTGCTTGCAATTGCTGGCTTTGCACCACCAGATGATCCCGTTCCAGATACCGTCGTCGCTGATCCACTCACTAAGGTGCTTACCAACTCCGAGCTCAATGGCGGCGCTAGAACTTCACCAGAACTCGTAACTTCTATGTTTGTTGCTGTTGTTGAGGCTGAAAGATAATAGAATAGGATGATCAGATACTAGCGCAGTTTCCATTGACTATTTCAATGTAGAAACGTTTTTAGGGAATAATGAAATAGGTAAGAAGCTGACGTTTGTAAGCGGGCTTTGTCGAAACTGTAGTTTGTACGTAGACCATATAGCCATAACGGTAATTCAATATGACATCAATACTAATCATCAACATTACTATAAAAAAATTAAATTCCAGTGTTCGGGTTCCTCTATAGAAATTGGTCCTCAACAACTATAAAATACTTTTTTCATATATCGGTATTTGCAGAAATATATTCTGCTGCCACAATGCAACGAGATGTTTCCTAATAGATACTAACCGGTGGTTGTGTTTGGAGGTAGCAAAGTATCTGTGTTAATCACCCGTCCATAAGCGCTCTTTGTTGTATTGTTGAACTCAGGTAGCCATTCTTGGATAGCTTCCTAGAGTAACCCGAGAAATTGGTCTCTCATAATTACAGGTTCTCATAAAGTCAGAATTTAAGAATATATAGTTTAAGGATTTATTTCGTGTGACGCACGTTACGGAGAAACAATGAAATGGAAGAAGAGATGACAGAAACGAAACTTTAGCCCAAATATAAATGCACCAATACTCTTCGCTTACACTAAAATGGTAGGAAAGTTACAATATCATAGTGCGACTGATCGTTACCTGCAGAGCTCGTCGAGGATGGTATGAATGAGCAGGTAGTCGAGATGGCACCTCATCCTCGGGAAAATCCACAGGCAGTGGTGAAGCCGCGGAAAGGGTGCCTCGAGTACTTCCCAAACATGATGCCCCTCCAGGACAAGATATTGAACCACAGCTATCAACGCTCTCGCACGATGAACTATCATCCACTGAAATTATGAAACACAGTCGAATTAGTCAAAGACACAGATCGACAATCAAATATCTCAATCTGCCGCTTATCACCATCATCGACAGTAACCATTTTCTAAATCAATGTGTGGATTTACTATATTAACGACGAATTTAGAAGATGAGAAAGATCTTAGTCGCTTTTATGGGTATAACTTACGTACTTTATGGCTTTGGTAACACATACCACTTTTACACGCGTCCGACGTGCATCGGCTCCATTGAGCAAGAGTATGGATAGCGATAAAGTTCGCTTCATATTCGCAATTTGGATTTGTAAGGACTCCTCGTAGGTGTGGAATAAGACGCGTTGAGCGACCTGAATAAGGACCAAGGAACACCCGTTTGTGGTCGTAATCGTTCGCGTGGAGATTGTCCCAAATTAAAGGCGAACGACGGAGGATCTAGAATAACAGCAGACAATGACATAACCGACTCAAGCTCGTATACTTCAGGAACTGATTTATGGCAAGCTTCCCTTTGAGTTATCTTACTAGCAGCTCAATCAGGATCTTCAGGTATCAATCGTGGTAAATATGTAGTTCAGTTGACGTTGGATGTGAGGATAGATGCCAAATTGATCTCTAATCCTCAAGAATGCTACTGTTGCAATTCTTTCGCCCTGTTTTTTAAGAGACTTCGGCGACCAGCGCTGACAGACAAACTCGAATGACCGTTACTTTTTGTGTTTTTCGACGTAATAATTGAACGAGCTATTTAGTTTTTTCAAATGAAGGCCAGACATGCAATTACCTGTATGCGAGGCAACTCAGCAATTTTGCCTTAAGCTCAATAGTGTATAGTAATGTTCTTCAGCTACTATCTGTAAAGATAAATTACTTACGTCTTGTAGTTCCTGAATAGATTTAAGAGTGATGTTCTTTGAGATCACTTTGTTCCCCGTCCACATTATATCGATGCCTTGTAACAGTTTCTGGCCAATTGTCGATAAATACTCGGAGTTTTGCACGTTAGGCACAGCCCGAGACGCACAGTATTCTGAAATTCAATTCAGATATATGTGTATATATGTATGTGTTATATATATATATATATATATATTCACTTTTTAGCTCACGAACCTGTAGGGCAGAAGATAAATTTTGGTTGACCTAACGCCTGGTACATTTCGTTCGTTATAGCCACCTGGGCCTGCGCGAACGTCTCAAACACTTCCTTATCGGCAGCGCCAATCTCCGGTTCTATATCATCGAAAAGAATCGCAAAAGCCGTCACTCCAAACGATGCAATCTAAACAATAAAATAAGACAAAAATAACTTTTGTTGTTTATGATATTCAAGCAAAAAACGTAGAAGGGTAAACGCCCAGCTCAAATATTTCCATGAGAATGGGCTTCCCAGATTCCAGAATACCCTCTTTTTTGCTATATCAAGTATGAAATAACTTACCATTAAATGAAACTAATTTTTGAGTGAAAATTAGCTGCCATTACCTGCTCGAGTTTTCTCTTAAGCGTGGCCACTTCTTTGGCGTTGCTGTAGATAATATCTAGGCCTGGCGAAATAGCATAGTAGAAATCTATTCCGTTTTCTTTTGAGGCCGCTATGAGTCCTTGTAGCTCCTCGGCCTCTTCGACTGTATACGGTTCTCGCCACTGCGCACGATGTTTTGCATCATCTTTTGGCGCATACATAAACGTGTTTAGCTGCCAACATCGCATCCTGAGTCGGGAATCCGGGCCAACAATAACACATGCGTGTTTCGGTTTGAGCGAAATTGCAAGAGTTGTGCAAGATTCAAAAAAACACATGAAAAAACTATTCTTGAAATGTTAATAAACGTTGTTAAGTTTAACCCATTTCGTCAAATAGTTATAGATGCGTAACGTTTTCTGCAACTTCAATTTTGGCAAATCAAAGCATTTTTAACAAAATATTAGCGCCTTTACGACTAGCGCAACACAATTATTGCCTGCATTAAGAATTACATTGTAAGTGTGTTCCTAATCAATACGATATTGACAGTAATGTTTTACCGATAATAGGTAATAGTCTAAGTGAGCTATAAGTCATCAGTGTATATATGCGACGAACGCATTCAGCTTTAGCTTAAACATGATGAAAGTGTTGAGACGCACTTGATGAATAAATCCTTTCTTTGTTCGGAAGTCCATGGTCTCCCGTAGAACCCTGTAATAAATGTAGGGCACTATGTGTTAATCCTCTAAAACTAAACGCTTTTGTGGGAGATCTATATTGAGGAATAAGAATTTAACTTCAAAATAGAGTAGGTGACCTGTGCGAAACGTTAGGGATCTGCGGGCAAGGAAAAGCTCAATTTTCATGGATCAAGTCGTTTGCAGTGCAGCGAAAAGCCTCTTGAAATTGACTTTCTCTCAAAAAACTTCAAAAATCCTTAATTAGCATTAACTGACGAAAGCGTGAAACAATTATTGACACTTTGCCACCCAAAAACAAGAGTTATTCCCTATAATTCGGTTATTCGTTGTCACATCTAAAGCTCACTTGAGCTATACTATTAGTAAGGTATGATATATTTATTAGACACCATAGCTTAGTTTTTCAATCATAACTACTGAACTAGCGTTTTATGGGATCTTTTCTGTTCTGAGTTTTGCGCGCCCACAGAACGTACAGCAAAATCATCTTAAGTTCGCATCGTGCTTAGGATTAAGTAGACAAGGGATGTTATGCTATCTGACAAGTACCATAGCGTTTTTAGAGCTGCGTTCGTCAGTAAAAGAAGCCATTGATAAATGGACCTCGTAGTAGGCTGTCAGTCATGAGAGTCGGCTTTCAGTAAAAAAGAACTACTGCTTCAGCGCCACAATTTGCTCGTTGATATTGATGAAGGAAGTGCAAATAACACTGATAGCACAGAGAGAAAAGCTTAGAAATATAACCCTTCTATCAGTCACCGTATATACAAATAAATCCGCGATCGGTGCACAGAAATGCTACAGCGACGACTTTGTTATGATGCTTTATATACTTATATTACATCCTGTGCTCAAATCGCAATTTCGTTGTCTCAACTCATTGCGCCTACAAATTGATTGTGATATAATACGATATTACTGGAATGATATATCTGCAACATTTGCGGCTCAAGTGGAATTTATGATCATGCGATTTCTATGGATATCTAGAATTTTTCTGTAATTTTGTTCAGTGATTCACTGAATTTACTGCACGTTTAAATGCGTCAAAAAATATTCCACTGCGGCAAGTAAAGTGATCAGTCAGTTTGTCACGGCCAAAACATCTCTAGCAATGGAAGATGCCATTGCCAACTTACTCGAAACAAGCACGTTCGAAAGATTACCAACAGAATGTAACAGCTGGCTATGTATTTAAAAGAATTGTGCAATTCAAGCTTCTGATTTGGTCATCGAAAGCCATACACGCCATTAAATAAATCCAGAGTCAATAATTCTCGTTTAAAAGGTTACATAGCTGACGATTCGACACATGATGTATTTAGTAGTAGTTAATATACAGGTTTCCGAAATCCGCCTCAGAAGTTCACTATAGCTGTGTTAGCCATCAAAGCCTCCACTTTGATAAAAACGTTCGTTTTTGTATTTTTCGGATTCTGCTTGTTTAGCTGTTGTCTTCATGAAGCAGCAGCTATCCCTGAGCGCTTCTACTTCTAAAGCTTGGCTTCCGACCTTTTGCCGTTTGTACTATTCGCATAAACAAAAAGTTCCTGTCAGCCGAGACATATTCAATGTACACCTATTGTCACCATATCGCTTCAAACAACGCAGAGACACAATGTTCGCTAGTAAAGGAAATGTCCGTCTGAGGGTATACCCATATGGAAATACAATAGTATTAAATAATAGATAGCCTTTGAAGCACTCACTAACCTTCCACCACACCGCAGATGAATTTGGCGTCCGCGTCCGATCCACCATTCTCCTGAGGCATCTCGTAGCAATCAATGGCAGTTGACAAGTAGGACCAGCAAAGCTGTCTAGACTAATAATGTAATCAAGCGTCTCAAAATGTCAGAGATTAATAAAACAAAAGGCACCTGTTTTTGGTTCGTTCCTTACTTTCTACTTAGCAGAGTTCCAACACATGTCATTTGCGAATGTTTGCCCTTCGGGTTGCTGCGCCTTCTTGCACTAGATTTTTCTTTGCTATTGCTCTTAATGTGGGCGCCTATGGTTAGAACCTGTGGTAGGTGGTTTGATGACAACGGTAAAACCACGATACTTCACTTCTATAACATACAATATGGATGGCAGGACGGCACTATTTCGAGATAACTATGTTTCCGCGCCTTAGAACGGCGCTACATGCAGCGCTTTTAATTGACCTCGTTTTGTTCCTGTTCAATGTCTTGATTTGTCTTTCGTTTGTCCAAATGTAGATGACGTAGTATCGTAAATGGTTTGTAGCTCTGTAAAGATGAAGCTGTTGCAACTATGTATAATCATAAAAAGACGCCACGATTTTTTTCCCTTGCCTCTATACTCCAGCAGGTACGCAAATAACCAAATAGATACTCGAGCCTCATTTACGCGTTGCGCGTGTCTCAGCTTATAGCTTTAATCAGTCATCAAAAAATTTCTTTTTGGTTTCTAAAAAAACACACTCGGTCGCTTGTTTGCTTGCTTGTGAAGCAATAACACTGTTAATGCGTACGGATTCACAATATCACACAGGCAAGTGGCGCACTACAACAATGCAATGAAACAGATCGTGGAATTAAATTGCATCAAGGCAAACTTTGCCACGAGACTCGTATCTGGATGCCTATGGTGCTCTCCCTAGGAATTTAAATACCCCGAATTTAACGCCTTCACTTGCTCAACTCGGCCCTTTTTTTTTGATCTTTCTTCCCGTTCGGCAGTGCTGCGAGAGCTCACGAGCACATCAATCACTGCGAAACGCTTGACTAGAACCACGATCCTAGGGCAGTAAACTATGCTTGACGCTTAATGGATATTAAGAGCACCAAGTATCTTTGTTCGGCTATAGGTGCTAGGCAATTCTGCTATCGACGACAATTCACCCGTTTGGGCAGTAGCGAAGCCTGAAGTTCGCGAAGGCGATGTTCGTCGTCGGAGAGCGCAGCGTTGTTTCACAAGAACTCTGCCGCAGATTACGCTACAATAAAAAGTTTGCTACAATATCACATATAAAATGGAAAAAATGTGTTCTTTCGACGACGAGTGTTCTCTGTATTCAGTAATAATTCATGACCAGCTAAACTAGAAATAGTAACTACAAGGGAAATAATAGCTGAGAGGACAGCTGTACATGTGATTCCTAATTAAATACGAACGGGTACAGCCAAACGGTACCGGCAGGACGGCCAGGGCTGCGCAACAACGACAGATAATCAGCTGCTATTGGACGGATAAAGGGACCACTTTACCTCTCTCACAACAACCTCGCGTCATATACGCATTCAGAAAGAACACGTAGGCAAGCGTCAACAACAACACTGTCGACGACGACGGCTGTGGATACAGCAAAACATTAGAACGTCACTAACCGCTATTGGTACCGGGCTGGTAATGAGACGATCTTGGAATATGCGGCTGAAGTTCAGATGGTTTAGTTCCGTTGTTTAGCGAGGGATAGGGCGTCCGCTATCCAGAGCGCGCGAATTTTCTGAGAACGACCTTCACAAAAACGAGTAAGAGAAGATATGAGAACAAATCGCCGAGCCGGTGCCGGCGGATAAATGCACTAATAGGCTATCGTCTCATTAATGGGCCACTAAAATCTCTAACATAGGAGTTGTCACCTCTTCTTACCATTATTGATAAAAGTCTGGCAAGTCGGCTATGTTATCTGGATAGCAATAGTATGTACTTAGTCGACAAACGTATCTTTGGTTGGTTACATTCTTGTCTACGGGATAAGAGATGTTAAATAAAAGATTGTAAAGTTCAACACACTTGATTGCCTTCAATATACCTAGCTAGCATTTGAACTTAAGAAAAAGAGGTTTACTTACGACTCGATTGTGGCTCAGATCAGATTCAAAGATTAACCTCTCCATTTTAGTATAGTTGTGTAATTGTTATAACACTTGCGTTGGAGGTAGACAAGAGACACTACCCTTGGCAACAACTCTGATTGTCTGTCAATAATTGGGTTTTAGGTAATTAAATGACCCACACTCGTATCAAGACAAAAGGAACGCAGCTCAGCATGAGGTCGTTGACGGCATCGTTTTAAATCGACGAAGTAAGTCGATGGCAAAAAATGAGTCCAGTAGGTATTGAATAATGTCTTCAAACTACAGGATGAGTCGCACTATCGTGACCATTAGTACTACTACTGGATAATGTATTTCCTTGGCCGCACCATAAATATAATACGCGCAGAGAAGAAAACGATTTACGTATACAGATTTATTCGACAATTTTAACGCCAATAGCCTTCAGGAACAGTTATCAATGAGATTTTAGAATTTCTGAAACAATAGATGCCCGTATAGTTCTATGATCTATGGACCCAGTCCGTCGTACAGCGAATGGTGATGCAGGGTATTCTTTATTTTATGCCATAATGACTTGCTATCATACATTTAATCTCTATCATCATACTTAACACATTGTGCCGTATCTTAAACTTGTCAAATGTGGTACTGATAAACTATGTGGGAATCGTATAAGAATTAGTAATTTCTATGAATTTACCTGATGTATTATATGTATTACATATACATATAAAATATATGCATTATATTAAAAAAATCTATTTGTTGTGTTTGCCCTAGTTCACTCTAAAGACAACTTCGCTTGGCGATTTTCTGTATATTTTTAGAATTTTTCTTAGAAAGATCCTCTATTCAATAATTAATATTTAATACAGCCATACTTATGGATAAATAATTTGATGGTTACTTGAGATTTTTTTCGAATGCTGTATATACTGAACATTTTTTTTGTACACTTGAAAAATCAACCAAAATAAAAGATACACTGGTTTGTGTAGCAGATTATTATCAAGTATTCCCGTTCCGCATTTCACTGTCGTCATTTACCGTTGGCGGATCATGTCGCTATTTACGGACCAAGGCTATGCTTAACCAGCAGAGAGAATTACATTGTGTGCAATCGTTAATTGCTACATATTTGTGTGTTGCATTGCCGGCCCGTAAACACAATTGCTAGCAATTTTCAGCTTAACGCAAGCCTAACGACTGTGTTCAAATCATTGGCAGCAAAACCTTTTTCCTTATTAACCGTCAAAGACAATGTAGCATACGTCAAATTCTGTTTAATCGGTCAGTAGTAAATATATTAGAAGATTCACAGTATATACACATTTCGTTGGTAAGCGTCTTATATAGAATTTGAGATCGTCAGTTACGAACTTAGAACGATCGCAGCACTTTTTGAAACAATCTTGAATTGTGTAGGAAATTTATCTCACACAAGTAAATACATAACGCGTATACTATAGCTCAAGGACGTGGTATGTCCCAAATAAAAATTCCAAAGCCAAGCAATTTGCTAAAGCAAATTGAATGCAATTCATTTTACCTTCGGTGAATTCCATCTTATTCACTCGATTTCGTTTGTGACTGCATTGCGCATAGCAGAAGTTGAAAGAGTTTGTTTTGGCTTTCGTATACGAAATATCTTGACGATAGCTATATCAGAATGACAAGACTGGGTTTTGTCGAGATGGTCACAGTGGTGATACCACTAATAACGTTTTATAGCTTCAGTTTGAGCTACAGCAAGAGCAAAGTTGGGCGTACGGATATCACCAGAGTCGCATATATCTTATAAGTATAGGCTGCAACCAGCCTAAAGTATTCACGATAGTTATACATACTGCGTACATGCCATGATCTAGTTTGATCGCATTCTACAAGCTTGGGTTGGAGTTATTTGAAAATCTACTTCAGGCAAACAATTTGTTTTCGCCATGCGAACATCTATCGAGAGAATTATATATGTATTGCCTAGTTTATGGCAGCTGCTGTGGAGGGTAGTTTTTGGTAGTTCTAGACTATTACCCTGGTCAGTTCTCTTACTTTCGACGAAAATAATCGAACTCGTTAAGGGCGCTAAAACGTGGCGCAAAGTAGAGCTTGTCTGCCTGAAAATAGGAGCGAAATTTAGAAATACAACATTGATATAATGTAATTAGGCAGTTGCAAAAAAATTAGTGTTCATTTCAGTTGTTTTTGATACCGTGGCAGTGAAGTCAGATTATTTTCCACTGTAGTTTTTCTGTTGAAAACATTAACGGCATGTTTACCTTCATGGCATCATGCTGTGCTTAGAACACACTTTAAGAACAAGAGCCTTTTGCTAGTTGGACTGCGCAAGACTGCTGAATGATGATTGTGCAAAAGAAAACATAACCATTATTGCTAAACGCTATTTTTACAAACAAATTTTTTATTACAAGTTCAGCTATTGTCCGTATCATTTATATGGATGAATAGTTTTAAGCCATGCGTCTGAACCTAGATTCACTTCTTTATTCCTCCATAGCGTGCTCCAGGTTATGACCAAAAACGAGCTGCCCTTACTCGGGCCATGTTTAAAGCTAACTTTACGATTCTTAACTTGTACTGCGATTTGCATAGGTTTATAATGAACATTTCAGTCCTATTATAACCATATATTGGCGTGAATAAGTTATGCTACCCTATATGTTATAAAAATAATACTAATAAATCGTCGCAAATATGCGGCAAATATTGGAAATAAGTTGATTGTTATTATTGTTAACAAGTTAAAAGCGAAAAGGCAATTGTGTGAACACGCTGCATCTAGCTAGACGTGCTAGATACGGAAAAAAACAGAAGGTATTCTTTGAAGGGCTATCCTACCAATGGCATTCCTATCAATACACGCATGCGGAAAGCCTCTTTTTTATCTACACGCCTTTGATATGTTAAGACCGGTACATAGCTTTCACAAAGACAAAAAACTAGCGAAAAACGTTAGGTATTATAAGAGAAATAAAAAAGACCATCTCTTTAAAATTTTACCTTTCCAAATTAATTATCTTACTTATCTAGTGTTTTTTTTTCTCTAGTGGACCTTTCGATGGCCTCGAAGTTGTCGGCAAACAGGTCAGCTGTAGTGGATTCCTGTTTATACACTCTTTAAGGACAGTACGCTCAATACATATATGAATGATCTATTTCCAAATTTTGCATTGGGCGTTTCCTTTCTTCCATTATTTAATACAGTTAATTTAAATTATTCTATTTTTGAACGCGATGTTTCAAATATACTACGAGTGTCTAGCAAAGGTAAGAGACAATTTGATCATCGTAGTCTGCAGGTGTGATTAGTGGAACGGAGTAGTTCTTGAGAGACTAGAGTATTTCGTGTAAAGGGTATCTGCGCTGTAAAAAGGGAACTGTGCTATTTCCCGGTCTGTCGCAATGCAAAGCTCGCCCGTGGTCAATTAATTCATGGGACCATAAAAGATCTATAATGGGAACAACAGAAATAACATTTTTAAATAACTCTATTTGGCGCTTGATTCTGGACAAGATAAGAGAGCCACAATTCGAGCTTCCGGCGTTAAGTTCGTAGCAGAAGTTCTGGACACCAAACTTGGCTGTGTCAAAAAAATTGTCCAAGAATTTTGTTTCTAAGGCCAAACGGCCGTACCTAAATTTTACTATCGGATTAATGGATAATGTAAATTGTAAAAAGCTTCCGAGAAATTCTAATCCTTGGTCTGTAGCTTTAGCAGCCATTATCGCTCTTTATATTAAAAATCTCGAAGATGTTCATCACAACGGGTTTGTCCCAACCTCAGATTTTAATTGACTCGTTCAAGGTAATCTCAACTGATTTTTTTCTCGTTTCTCGGTTTTTTTTTTACCTCGTACCACATTTAGCAACTGCAAAATTTAGAGAACCAATATTGGCTCGGTTGGATCAATTGATATCGTTGTTGTTCGCCAGATAGAACAATTGTAAATTGCGTTTCCTATAGATAGCTTCAGGTTGGTGATAGGTTTTCAGTCTTGAGGATAAGCTTCTTTTCAATTTGAAACACTTGTCTTTGAAACCTACCGGAAAAGCTTATCGTAAGTATTTATTCTAGACCTAGTTTGTGCCTAAACAACGATTACTCCTCATTGTTTCGCGGTGTCTGATCTGAAATCTGATCCCGTCCATAGAATCGTTTTTCGTTGCATGTCCGTGCTATACCGTCGGAACGAAGCTTTTTTTTTATTTGATCAGACAGGTTCTGCTTGTCAATGGTGCTTCCTATGTGGATGGTGCTTTAAGACAGTTCATCCGTAGCAGTTAATACTTTTTTAGGTTTCGTTAAAAAGTGAACCGTCAGCCACATTTACGGTAACTTCGGTAGTGGTAACGATCATTAACTTTTCTAACGGGTGAAATTTGTCATATT